ATTTTTTTTTATTTTTTCGAAAGCTAGGCGGATCGCCTAAGCAAGACGCTTAGCCCTACGCGCTGCCTAAGTGTCGCCTAGGCGATTCCATCGCATAGAACCACCGTCCAGGTTGATCCTAGGAGTAGGCAGTACCGCCTATGCCTAAGCGTACATCTAGGCGGACGCCTAGGATGTTTTTAGAACACGGTGAAAGCTGTGAAAAGAATTCTTAGATATCTTAAGAAAACTCTAAGCAATGGAGTTCTCTATTCAGCTAGTGGACACAAAAGAATTACAGGTTTATCAGATGCAGAATGGGCAAGATATAAAACGGACAGAAGATCGACCGCATGATATTGTGTATTTATTAGAGGAAATCTAATTTCCTAATAGAACAAGAAATAGAGTGTAGTTTCTCATTCTACAATGGAGTCAGAATATCGAGCTATGGCGAATCTTACTGTGAGCTAACCTAGATTAGAGATATATTAACGAAAATTAGCTTTCCTCCTGAGCAACCTCTAAGCTTGTATGGAGACAACATACATAAAGATTGATTGTCACTTGACTAGTGAGAAGATGGAAAATCGGATCGTTAGAGCCAAGCACATACCTTTAGAGCGTCAGATCGCAGATATCTTGACAAACCTTCTTGGAAGAACAAGAATGAATTTTATCTGTGACAAGCTGAGCATAAATGATATAGATGCTCAACTTGAGGGGGGAGCGTTGAGAGTTATGTTGTATTTGTGATGTGTTTATTCTCGGCAATTTTATCTGTGACAAGCTGAGCATAAATGATATATATGCTTAGCTTGGGGGAAGTGTTAAGAGTTTTGCTGTATTTGTGATGTGTTTATTCCCACATTGCTTGTGGACTAATCCCTTTGTCTCTCCCATATTATAAAATAAGTCCGAGAAGAGAGGGTTGATTATCCTCTCCGATTACCCAGTTAACAGAATGAAAGGACAAGAAGCTTGTGGATGAAACTCGAGCATTTATGGCAGGAAGCATTTCGTATTTACATGTTGAACTAGTATCCACTGAAGAAAACTATCAGATAGTCAGATTCTATTATTTCTCCTTGGCCACCCTCAACACTTGATGTTTTGGCTTTTACCACATAAATTTATTTTGCGATGACTTTATGCATAGAAATAGAAGGAAAATGCACACGTACCACAAAGTTTGAAGCTCCTTGGACTTGCGAGGATTATACATTAGCTGGCAAAATGTGGGGCCATATGGGTCATTAAGTAATACGGACACCAAAAAGCTTCCACAGAAAATTTACCGATTCGATCTATCCAGTATCCTTATTGGGATTCCAACGGTTTTGACAGTTCCAATCAGACTCAACATGCAATAAATCAAATTTTAGTTACAAGCTTGTCATTTATTTATTTTTACTTTTATTTTTCCTGAATAAAAAGCTAATGTATCAACTTTTGATGTGTTAAATCTAGGATTTCCTCTTCTATAGTCTAATGTCTGCTATCTTACTCATTAAAAAGTTTTTTGGTTTTATTTTTTTTATTTTTTTTATTTTTTTTTTATTTTTTTGAAAGCTAGGCGGATCGCCTAAGCAAGACGCTTAGCCCTAGGCGCTGCCTAAGTGTCGCCTAGGCGATTCCATCGCATAGAACCACCGTCCAGGTTGGTTCTAGCAGTAGGCAGTACCGCCTATGCCTAAGCGTACATCTAGGCGGACGCCTAGGATGTTTTTAGAACACGGTGAAAGCTGTGAAAAGAATTCTTAGATATCTTAAGAAAACTCTAAGCAATGGAGTTCTCTATTCAGCTAGTGGACACAAAAGAATTACAGGTTTATCAGATGCAGAATGGGCAAGATATAAAACGGACAGAAGATCGACCGCATGATATTGTGTATTTATTAGAGGAAATCTAATTTCCTAATAGAACAAGAAATAGAGTGTAGTTTCTCATTCTACAATGGAGTCAGAATATCGAGCTATGGCGAATCTTACTGTGAGCTAACCTAGATTAGAGATATATTAACGAAAATTAGCTTTCCTCCTGAGCAACCTCTAAGCTTGTATGGAGACAACATACATAAAGATTGATTGTCACTTGACTAGTGAGAAGATGGAAAATCGGATCGTTAGAGCCAAGCACATACATTTAGAGCGTCAGATCGCAGATATCTTAACAAACCTTCTTGGAAGAACAAGAATGAATTTTATCTGTGACAAGCTGAGCATAAATGATATAGATGCTTTGTGATGTGTTTATTCCCACATTGCTTGTGGACTAATCCCTTTGTCTCTCCCATATTATAAAATAAGTCCGAGAAGAGAGGGTTGATTATCCTCTCCGATTACCCAGTTAACAGAATGAAAGGACAAGAAGCTTGTGGATGAAACTCGAGCATTTATGGCAGGAAGCATTTCGTATTTACATGTTGAACTAGTATCCACTGAAGAAAACTATCAGATAGTCAGATTCTATTATTTCTCCTTGGCCACCCTCAACACTTGATGTTTTGGCTTTTACCACATAAATTTATTTTGCGATGACTTTATGCATAGAAATAGAAGGAAAATGCACACGTACCACAAAGTTTGAAGCTCCTTGGACTTGCGAGGATTATACATTAGCTGGCAAAATGTGGGGCCATATGGGTCATTAAGTAATACGGACACCAAAAAGCTTCCACAGAAAATTTACCGATTCGATCTATCCAGTATCCTTATTGGGATTCCAACGGTTTTGACAGTTCCAATCAGACTCAACATGCAATAAATCAAATTTTAGTTACAAGCTTGTCATTTATTTATTTTTACTTTTATTTTTCCTGAATAAAAAGCTAATGTATCAACTTTTGATGTGTTAAATCTAGGATTTCCTCTTCTATAGTCTAATGTCTGCTATCTTACTCATTATTAGCCAACAGGGGACGGTTTCAGATAGATTAGCTCCGCAGACTTAAAATGAGATATATGATTGATATGTGATGATCACTTTTGCTCTATCGCGGCAAAACAAGACTAGACATGCCAGATGTTCTAGACTTCATTTTTTGAGTGAAGATATGCAAGCCGTATGTTCAAGAAAACAAACTATGAAAAGAAGTACCAAATAAATTTCATTGAATATTCTTGGGCACCAGAGGGTAGCATATTGCATCCGAATAAACCATGGGAAGCAAAAACAAGGAAAAAGGGAAGGAAATTAGAAGAGCACCAAACAGTAGAGGTAACATTGTGTTCCTTAATAAACCCACATGCATGCAAAGTTATGTGAAGGGCAGCACATTACTTACAGGATTTAGTTAAAAGAAATCAAAAGGTATCCTAGTCTTCAAATTCAGAGATAATCACACAGGTAAAGGAAAGGAAAGGAAAGGAATTTTTACAAAGATATGCTAAGAGTATTAAATTTGCAGGTTTAAAACTTGCATCGACTAAGTAAAGGAAAGGTATATGTTTATTCAATAAAGTAAAGTTTTGTAGCCAAGGAAGGAGAAATTCTAGCGGCAGTAGCTTTAAGCAACTACCCTATCTCACTTGCATTATTACTCGTCCACGTGTCCCCAATCTCAATTGATTATGGTCAATCAGAAAATAAGAAAAGAGTCCGTACAGCTTACGAGGAACGATAAAATTACATAACCCCTGAAACTTAGGTGGGTTGTGCACATAAACCCATGGATTTTGTTTATTCTCCTTAACCCTTTGAACTAATCTCACATAACCCTCTAAAGTAACAGGGTCACATGCCAAGAATGTGACAGCAAATAATGAAAATACCCCTAAATTAAATTAAAAAATTACCCTTAACATTTTTTCATTTTTAAGGTTCTATTTCAAAAGGACATTTTGGTCATTTTATCATTAACACTTAACCATCAGGGGTACATCGTAGAACTTTAAAATTCAGAGGGTTAAGTGAGACAACCCAAAGTTCAGGGATGTTAGTAGAATAAATAAAGTTCATAGGGATTATGTGCAAATCACCAAAGTTAGGGGGGTAAGTGAAATTTACCCAAAGATAAATTTTCTGCAAGCTTTCAAGAAGGGGAGGGAGGGCAGGGAGGCAAAACTACACAGTTTTACCTAATATAGAGGGGTATCCGTTTCAATCAGAGGACCAGAGACACGTGGACGAATAATAACACTAGTGAGGTTGGGCAGTCGCTTAAAGCGACTGCTGCTAGACTTTCTCGTAAGGAAGATGATGTCACGTGCAAACAACTTTGAGCATAGAAAAAATTTTCAGTAATCTATGTAATACATATACATACATACATGTATAAATGTAGTGAAGAAAATCTTCACAGAGTACGGTCTATTTAAGGACTACGGTCTATTTAAGGACTACGGTCTATTTAAGGACTACTTTTCTAGCCAAAAGTGATGAACGCAAACTTGATTTCTCTAATAACAGTGAGAACTACTTCACTTAAGCACATTTGACATCACATGCACTAAGAAACAGAGGAATTATACTGTGACCACAGTCTTTCATCAAATTCTATTCAAATATGCACGCAGATTGCAGACGGATAACAACAACAAAATATTTACATTAAAACTTCTTATTCTATTCTTACCGAAAGAAAATTGATCAAACAGAATGATCTAGTAATTCTACAATTATATATTCTGAAAACTAACACCTCAGCATTAAATAAAGAAACATCTACTTCCTTCTCTGTGCAGACGCTTGATGCGTAACTACAGTATAAAGTTCTTTCCAGTTATCCAAATAATTGCAGTTAATAAGCACAGAAATTGGAGAGGACTATGAGTGATGAACGATTTACAACAGCAGCCAAAACAAAATAAAAATGCAACAGCTTTATATCAAAAGCAAGCAGGAAATGAAGCTATGAAGGATTAAAACTAGCAATTATCTGATGTAGCAATTAAGACGATAGGCGACATTTTCTAGTAAAAAAAAATAAACTTAGTATATAGATTGGCAATGCTAATGTACAAGTAAGAAAGACTAGAATTAACCGATCCTTTTAGACGATTGAAATCGCTAAATTTACCTGCTGCACTGCTGGCAAAATCGCTGCTCCCTTCCCCCTACAACTACAATTGCAGTCTTAGAATGAACCTCACAGACTTTGTGCCTCCTGTGGTACTCTCTGCACTTGCTAAGATCAGATACACACCCATCAACCAAGCATGAAGCAACTGGACCGCCACTGCTAAGAGCCCGAGCCCTCTTAGATGAACCTGACGATGAAGATGACACCATTTCCACAAGCTTAAGATCGAATAAGCAATCTTTTTTTCCCCCAGTCCTGCAAAAATCAAGATAAGGTCTTTTCATATCCTAATCCATGAAAGTGACTCTCTACAGTTCGACCATGGTCCCTTGTGTTCTCTATCACTCTTTTCACCTTGCTGCCCCATTTCCTTTTTTGTTATCTTTTTCTTTTTTTTCTATTTTTGACTGTCATCCTCTTGTGATAATGCCATCCACGCGTTTCAGAATCAATCCATTTCCCTACTTTTTGTCAATTAGACTTCAATAACAGACCTCCCTCAAAAAGAAATGGAAAAAAAAATCATGGCACTATTTGTGGCAGACCAGAAAAAGAGAAGGAAATTGTTACAAAGGGAGAGACAAAAATTACTCATACTACTCGACAAATACACATATAATATTTGAATAAAACCAAACACCCATCAGCATCGAGAGACTGCAATACCCATCAGAAATTTCGAATCTAAAGCATAACGCATAAAAACGAGGGTTAAGGAAGAAAATTGCAAATTTGGCAGCAGCCCGTTATAATAAGAACTACCATATACATAAATTTGATTAAAAGCTTCAATAAAAACCCATTAACAAAAAAAAGTTAACAAGCAACAGATGAGCACAATTACTTACAGTAAAATCCCAGAGAGGTCAACAGCTCAAGGCTCAAACTGAAGAGGAAACTCCCAGGGCCAAGCATTCATGAAACTATAAGGGGGGAAATCAACAGCCCAAGTATAGAAATGGCACCAGATTAATCCCCAACAGATCAAAATAATAATAAGCTAAAAGAAGTGGGTTAGGTAACAACTAGCAAACAAAACAAAAGCTGGGGTCAAAAGGGGATTCAAAAATACTTACATCCAACTATTAAAACCCTGACATGGATTGCACTAGAGGAGCATTATCGAAGATTCAAAGCTGGGAAAATGGGGGGGTAAATAAAATATGAGTGGTGGGTTTTAGGGATTTTGGGGGTTCGGAGGGAGGAAAATCTTTTTGGGGGACGCAGTCAAGACCGGGGGGTTTTTTTTGTTTCCTAGTTGTTTTCAAGTGCTTATCGCAAGTTAATGATGCGATCATATCAATTGGGCGTTGGTGAAGATGAGGGTCTATAAATATTAAAGAAAGAAAAGTAGGATAAATAAATAAAAATAAAAATCTCTCTGGAACCCTAAAAAGGTTTTAAGGGATTTGTGCGCGGTTGCTTTCAGAGTTTCTTCGGGGGGTTTTTTTTTTTTTTTCCTTTTTATTTATTTGTTTTAATTTATTTTTTACTTTTGTGGTTTGTTATGCTGCAATTTTTTTCCCCTTTTTTCTCGAGAATATCATGCTTAATTAGTTCTCATTTGCTTCAAAGCTTCGATGAAACTTCGTTGTTTGTTTCCCACGCTGTTTGACCCTTGGCTGTTTTTTTGTTGGACGCCCAAAAGAAGAACATATTAAAAAGTTCTTTTTTTTTTAAAAGAAGAATAATAATAGGTGTTTGCTGTAAAATCCTGCGGGTAGCTTCTCGATAGCGCCAGCTAGGATCCAAGAGGGATACACGGTTAATTCCGACCTTTTGCTATAAATAAATAAATAAATTGCATGAAAGTAAAATTAACCTACAAACTACCTACGAACACCCCGCACACAATTGGGCAACACACTTGAAAGCAAAACTGGCCAACTGTAGAAGAAAGTAAAATGACAAGGCAATAATGAAATATTGATTTAATTGATTGCGTGTAAACTTATTCTTCTTTGTTCTCATCTCCACTGCTTCTAACTTAAAAGCAAAATATCAAAATCACGGTCATGCTACAGTAACTATTCCTGCTAACATATGATGTGAAATATTAAATACATTGCTTATCTCACGCAATTGTTTTTAGCCATAGATTTACTGTTTATGTTGTACTAAATTAGTTTTTATCATAAACATTGTCCTTCAATTTTTGAACCTCCTGTTGTACTAAATTATTTTTTTTATCATAAACATCGCTACTGCTACAGTGTAATTTTTGAATCTTAAACATACTTTATTTGTTACACTAGACTTTTTAGCCATAGCACCCCACGAAATTGGCGCAGCTTTTGACACTGCGTTGGAGGAGGAAAGTGGTGCCAAACTTAGTGTTTTGGAATCTCGTTGGAGAGGCCCTAACTATGCTTTTATTTGTGCTCTATGAGCAATCTAGCATGAAAGTAGGATTAATATACTATTTTTTGCTATCACTAGTGCCCTGGATAAATGAACAGCTTACAACTTTTCATTATACACAGGTTTCTTATTATTCATAACTAAGAAGAAGGATATACAGGTGCTTTTTAATTCAACTAGGAAAAAAGTTTTCATAAGATGGAACTATTATCATGACAATATATAGAGAGTTAACTTCATAAGCAAAGCCTCCACCGAATACCTATATCTTGCTTAGATCTAGATGTTGCTGAATTAATGATGTTGCTTAGATATATCATGACAATAGAGAGTTAACTTCATAACATTGGCCAATGATAATGATGTTGCTGAATTAATAACTACAAAGGAATTAGAAAAAGGCATGCGCTTCAAAATCAAGATAATTTTCAATGATGTGCAAGGTTTTGCCCTCTGATATAATTCTGCAAATTATTGCCATACTTAAGCGTCTTGTTTGGCAGCTAAAAAGTAAGTTAAAGTTAAAGAGTCTAGAGAAAGTAATCCTCTATTTTCTAAATCTTATTTGAACACTAATGTCAAATTGTAAAAGGTAAAAGATAAAAAATAAATAATTATGCCTCATCTCTTAATTTTCAATCATCAAAAAGTAAATAAATAGAAAGTAAATTAAGAGGCTTCCCAGCCACTCTTGAAAGCTTGAACCGAGGACATCTTCAACTTAGGGGGGGTTTGGTTGGTGTAATTTTGGGGTAAGTGGGATAATTTTTGGGACTTCACTTTATGATGTTATTCAATGGGACAATGGGATTAGGATTTCACTTGAAGGTGTTATTCATTAGGACAATGCGATTGAGACAATTATCCCCACTTTTCCCAAAATTATCTCACTTCAATACAAACTTTTTGTCCCAACCGCCAAAAATTACTCCATTCTTGACTTTGGGACAATTATGAGGAAAGTGAGATAATTTAGAAACATTAATTTATTAAATATCTAATATATGTTAATTGTATTATAATATATACTATATTTTAATTATATTATATTATAGAATTCTATTATAATGTAAGATAATAAAATATTATATAATATTATCTGATATAACATTATTATATATCATTATTACATATTGGTTAATAATATTTCATATATTATAATATTAGTATTATGTTATTATAATATTACTTTATATTATTTAATATATATTTTATTAATATAATATAATATATTATTTAATAATACTTTTTAATTAATAATATTGAACATATTAATAGTATATTATGATTATTATAAATAATATTTTAATAAGGAGTCACGTCATCAATTATTCTATCTAAATTATAGTACTTATCATAAAATAAAACAAAATATTATATTTTAATAATAATATAATATTTTAAATAATATTATATTGAATTAAACAAAATATTATAATATTTGATTAAATATTATATTATTGAAATATTGTATTAAATATATTGTTTGTATATTATATCAATTATTATGTAACATATCATATTATTATAATATATTATATTATATTATATTAATAACATTAAATATAATTATAATTAATTAGTAATTATAATATAATATATTATATTTTAGTATAAAGTGAAAAAATGTATTATGCTATAATAACATACCAAATAATATACTAAACTAATTAGGTAAATTAATTTAGACTTAATTGATAGATAAATATTGTACTTTAATAAGGTGTCATATCATCAATTATCTCACATGAATTATCAAATCAAAACTTTAAATTGTCTCGTTATCCTAAATTGTCCAATTTTACACCACTCAAATTATCCCAAAGGGATAAATTTATTCCATTAGGGGGGTTAGTCAAATAGAACTTTTTTAAGTAGAACTGGGATAATTGGTAAAGTGGGATAATATTTTGACACTGGGATAATTTAGTGGAACAATGATGGGTAATTCTTAAAGTGGGATAATTTGGTAGGATAATTTGGTGGGATAATGATGGATAATATTATGAAGTTGCATAATTTGGTAGGATAATTTGGTGGAGGTAATGGTGAGTATAAATTACTATTGTTAATAATTGTATATTAAAAATAATATAATATTGATAAGCAAATTCTAGTGATAACTATAAAATATAATGCAATAAAGCATCACTATTCATCTCAAATAATAAAATAATTTACAAATAAATAAAAATTTAAATCCCTAGAGTGACTCGACTTCCATCATCCAACATAGCTTCTATCATCCCACATGACATTGCCATAGAATTTCTCCAAACTCCTACAGCTGTTCGTTGAGTCTGTAACTCGTCTTCTTTATCGGAGTCATCGTCTGCATCAGCAACATTTCGTGGAGCTTCTAGTGGAGGATCATAAATGTCGAAGTTCAAATCTCATAACATCATAAAGAAAGAAAAATAAGCATTTTTCAGCCATTAACCCTTTGGACCAATCTCATCATGATCGCTGAAACCATATCAGCAAATAAATGAAATGTACACAGGAATCATCCATGGCCGCTAAACAGATGATCGACGGATGAACTATAAATATCCCAATTAATTTACTGAGTCGATTTAATAATAATAGATATCAACATTAACCATTCAACATCTAATCATCAATGTGATTGCAAAGTTGCTTTCTAACTTATAAAAAAAACATATATAGCCCGTATATCTTTAGCACTAACCCACCAACACTATATTCTTAACCTAAACCACTGTTGTGGAGAGAAAACTTAGATCAAACAAATAATAATAAAGTAATTTAACATCAAAAAACTATCAATAAAGTAATACATCTTGAAGATAATAAAAGATCTAATCATCACAAAAATAAAGTAAAGACAGAAAAATGAACGGATGATTGACTTCATGGCAGAGAAATTTTCTAGGCGGAGAAACTAACCAAGAGGGAGGGATGCGGCGTTTCACTTTTTTTTCCCCAATTGTATTCTTTCCAATGTGTGGGATAATTTGAGAGAGGAGAACTTATGGTTATATATATAGGTAGTATAATTTGTGAGATAATTATGACCAATTATCCCAATTCTAATTCTAGTAGAATTCTACTTGACTAACGCATCAAAAAAATAATACAGTTCTAGTTCTAAAAAAGTTCTACTTGACTAACACTATAAAAAAATATCCCATTTCTTAGTTCTATATGACTAACACCTTAAAAAATTATCCCACAAATTATCCCAGTTCCAGTTTTAAGTTCTAGATGACTAACCCCACCTTAGAATAATTATCTCACCTAGCCTCAACTTGCCCCAACCAACCACCATGCTCAACTGTGATCCGCACCACACCTCCAGAGAAAGGAAAATCACGCATTATATGGTAGTTATGGTCTGTTCGGAATCGGATCTTGTGGCACGTGGATGAAGCAAAGCCACACCGTGTCTAGGAAGAGGCAACAACGACTTCATCCTCAGAAAGGACCTCCATGTGCGATACAATGACGGTCGAAACCCAGCGGGGTTGAATAAAATTGAATGTTGACGCGGCCATGTTTGAAGTGCATAGGCGGACATGGTCAGTTGCAATCTTTCGAGATTATGAGAGTCATTTGTTAGGATGTAATCTGTACAATAGCTGTTGTTTGAGTAATAACAAACTCTCATTAGATACTAATATCTATTTGAGATGGCATGGTATAGGTGAAATCATATATACAAAAGTTATGGGGCGAAACAATACAGAAATCAGCATTTTTTGCTGATTTCAACCTTGGAACCAACCATTGATGGTCTATAGTGACCCCTTGATGATCAAGGTTCCGATGATGTACATTGACCAATTGCAGATTTTAGAAACTCAAAATCAAACCATTGATGATCTACATGAACCCACCGATGGTGCTGAGATAACCATCAATGGCCGTAAATGACCATCGATGTGACGACGGTGTTTGGCGGATTTAAAGAGTTAAGCATAACTGTTGATTGATCAGTTCGTCTCTGACTTCCATCACGGTTTGAAAATCTCTTTCTTGATTTATTGGAGGCTATATAAGTTGAAAGAGATAATATTTGAGGAGAGT